GTTGTTGCTTGTGCCTTTGTTGTTTATCTAAAAAACCATTGCCTAACTCAAGGTTATGCAGATTTACGTTTTTTTAAAGAGTGTTATAGTTTAAACTTTTGCTTTTAAATCTGTAATCCATTTTGAATTAAGATTTCTGTATCGTGTGAGATGGAGGGATCCAACTTCATTCTTTCGCATGTAGCTATTGAATTGTCCCAGCACCATTTGTTGAAAAGACAATTCTTTCTCGATTGAATTGTCTTGGTACCCTTGTAGAAATTCAGTCGAACATAAATATAAAGTTTATTTCTGGGCTCTAATTCTGTTTCATTGATTTAAATGTCTTTCTTTATGCACCACAGACTATCTTGATTACAGTAACTTTGTATTAAGTTTTGAAATTGGTTCTTTTTCAAGATTGTTCAGCTATTCTGGGTACCTTGGATTTCCACATGAATTTAGCATCATCCTGTCACTTCATGCAAATAGTCAGCTAAGATTTGTTAAGGGTTTGTTTGAGTCTACCAATCAATTTGGGAAGAACCCATTAGATTTTATATTCATAATACTAAACTTAAATTCTGCCTATTTCATCCTTTCTTACAAAATTAAATTTTCTTTTAATTTCCTATAACTAAATTTTATATACATTAAAAGATCATTCTTATAGTATATTAGTGTTAAACTAACCATGAAGAAATATGAAGTAATTCCTTTTTGTATTGGTAAAAATACAGTATTGTATAGGCTTAATACCTCTATAACAAAAATCTTTACATACAGAAAAATTATTACAAAGAAGAGTGCCAGGAGAGGTACCAAACTATTTCAGAACTGTATAGAAAATAGCAAAATTCTATATCACAGAATTTCTATAGCCCTTGAAAATTTTGTGTTCTGTTGTTTTTCCTGATGAGATTCATTTTATGTTTTTAAATATTAGCAAAAGTTATGTATGGGAAAAAATTAGATATGAATACTACCTCTATGGAATGTGGATGAGGATAACAAAAATAAACATTTTAGAGTTTTATAATGTTTTAGATTCCATTGGTCCCTAGAATAAGACATGGGTAGCTATTTGATAGCTTATGTGGTTTTGCTTAGTAAGTGAATACCATAATCCAGTGATTCTTGACTTTGGCTGTTATGCATTAGAATCCCTAGAGAGCTTTTGAAAATCAGATGTCCCATATAGCACACCAGACCAATTAAATCAGACTCTTTGAGAGTGGGACTCAGATGTCAGAATTTTTAAAGTTCTCTGGGTGAGTCCAGTGTGCAGCCAACATTAGAACCACTACCTTAGATATCTGAAAATACAGGTGAAATTGAGCTCAGGAAAATGTAATTATCCTGAAATGGCAATTAAAGGCATGCCATCTGAATTGTATGCCACTTTAATTATAATATCAACTGTGAAAAGTAGTATGGAATTAACAGGATGTAATGATTTGGTTTTGCCTTTGTCTGTGAACCAATAATAAAAGATTATTTAATAATCACCAGAATTTCAAAATTTGGTACTAAGAAGATCAGTTATGCATACCACCATATAGATAGGCATTTGTTTGAGGGGAAAACTCCACTGCTAAAGAGTTAAGCCACCAGTTTATTGGAAAAAGCACTGAATTAAGAGTTTAGGAATCAGTGTTCTAGTACTAACATGTTGTGTAACTTCAAACCAGGGCATTTAAATTATACTTTATAAAATGAAATAGTTTAACTGGAGGTGATCACCAAATTATTTATTCAACAAATTGGATTGCCTACTGTGTGCTAGGCAAGGATGCAAGAATGAACAGCCCATTGAAAAGGCTTGAAAAGCTCACAGAAGACAGACAAACATGCAGAATGTTTAAGTGTAGCTGTAGTGAAATGTCAGGGAATTAAGGAAGCACAGAACTGTACTTCATCCACTCAGTATTGGTACAAACACTATAGTTTCCTTTTCAGCAACCATTTACAAATCCCTTCTTCCTTACTGGCAGAACCCATCTCTGAAATAGACTGAAAATGTCAAATAATGCTTGCTTTTCTAGCCACCCGTGCAGCTGGGGCAAGGACATGTTACCCAGTGCTGGTCATTGAGACTACAAAAGAAATCTTCTGGCCAGTTCTCCTTATAAAAGCTGACAGTTGAGAAAGTGCCCTTCCTTCCTGACCTTATTTGCATGAGGATGTGGTGTTATAAAGGTCATCTTGAGACTGATGGCCTAAGAACAAAAGGTGCCATTCTGGTTATAGCCAAAAAGAAAAATGGAATGAGGCTGGATCTTTGATGTAAACATTGAGCTGCCGAACCAACCCTACAGCCATCACCTGTGGACTTATTAAGTGAGATAATAAAAATACATATGGTTTGAACACTTGCTGCTTTAATATTGGTCTGTGGATCAGCAGTATCAGCATCACCTGGGACGTTAGTTAGACATGCAGAATCTCAGAGCTCGTGTCAGGCCTCTTGCATCAGAATCTGCACTGTAGTAAGAACACTAGGTGAATGAGGTAGACATCGAAGCTTGAGAAACACCAGTTTGAACCACTTTTAATATGCAGTTAGAAACGTCTTTACTAATATAAATACGTTGTAGATTGACCAAGTGTCATTTTTTAAAAAAAAAAAGTACTTGACCATAAAGACTTCTGATTCAGATGTAGAAAGTAGCAAGAGATGTATTATTCTCACCATAACAACCAAATCAAGCAGTATAAGCTACATAATCTTAGTTTAAAACAAACAAACAAACAAATACCTGTCAAAGAGCTTGAGGACACAAATCTAAATGACTCCAGAACATGACAGGCCCTTCAAAAAGAGATAATTCACTCCTCCTCTCTTTCCTGGCTGAAATGTATTTTTTTTAGGGAGAAAAACAGCAGAGAGGAATAAGGAGAAATCAGCCTAATTTTTAACAAACGTTTAATGACCATAGAGGGGCTAGCAGGAAAGATTAGAATCCAGAGAAGCCCTAGACCAGTGCTGTCCACTAGAACTTTCGATATTTGTGCTAACCAAATGTGGCTATCAAGCACTTGAAATGTGGCTAGTGTGGCTGAGGAACTGAATTTTTAATTTGAATTGATTTAAATTTACATAGTCACACGTGGCTAGTGACTACCACATTGGACAGTGCAGCTCTAGAGACAGAGTGAGAGCCTGCACTACCCACCCCACCCCCCAGTTCTTTGCTACAAGTGTTCATTTAGTGTCAGGGATACTGCTCCAAGAACAGGGGCAATGAAGCAGAGCTGAGAGAAAATTCCCAAGGTATAGGTTTTCAGCTAGGGGAGAACCAGAGAGAGCCAAGAGAATTTAGAGCAGTCCCTTCCAGGCCATGCCCAACTTCACAGACTATAGAGGAGACGAGTGGGGCTGCAAGATCTGCCAAGGCCCAAGAAGCAGAGGATGGGACTGGAAAACAAAGAGAGCTAGCTCCTCAGTCAAATACTGGCATCCTGGGCTACACATTAGGCACAATCTCTCTCACTTCACAGTTCAAAAAGTAGGCAGCTCAGGAGATCTCTAGAACCTCACCAGGGTTCTAATCCCAGGCCTTGCTGAAGAAAAAGTCCTGATCCTGTCCTCAAAATGTTTGGAGCCATTGAGAAATTGAATCAAACTAAAGTTGCAGCAAAGCCAGATTCAGCTCAACTGTAGAGCATGTTGATTCAGCCCTGACCTAAGGGGTATGCTCCTTTCTGGGGATAAATGTACTTTCCTTCAAAATGCCCAGCATGCAGTCAAAGATCTTAAGGAACAGGTGACTCATTGTCAAGAAAGAAAACAGTCAGTAGAAGACCTAGAGGTGATCCAGATAGTGGAGTTATCAGTTAGGTATAACTAAAACAGAAATGCCAAAGAATCTGATGGACCAGGTGCACAGCACGTGTAAGAGATGAGGAGTTTCAGCAGACATGGAAATTTTTTTTTAAGAACCAAATGGAAATGCTAAAAATATAATATCAAAAATTAAGGTCCTGTGGATGGTTTTAGCAGCCTTGGCTAGACTCTTGGGAGCAAGCAGTTTGTATTGTGGAAGGATTCCTTCTTTCTATACTGATTGATAGTTACCTTGAACAAGAAGTACACAATATTCACTACACTAATTATAAGCCCACAAACATTTCTTTTGATAGACCACTGCATAGATTAATCAGGTCACATATTCTCACATATTTCCCTGATAGTTTCCTGATAGAAAAGAAAATAGTTGGCACTTCTGTGAATCCATACATAGGCCTTTCCAGATCATTAGTTAGAATTTTCACCTGTCTTGGGAGAGAAACCAGAGGCAATCTTGATAACCCAGTCCCCGCCATATGTGAGTATGTCTTGTTTGGTCAGCTTGTACTGCAATTATATCCTTATTTTTCATTCCCTTCATATTTTCAATCTTCCATTGAACGTATGGTAATAAAATATTGATTTTTCACATTATAAACACTCTAGGTTTCTAGAATAACTAGTTTCTTAATAGATAGCCTTGTTAGTGTCCATTGAGGCTTAGAGGAGCAGTGATCAAAAGTTTTAAAATACCACACAGGACATACAGGAATTTCTTTGCAATTAGATCTTGCATTTCTGCAGTAATTATTCTCTGCCATCCCCGAAGGGACTGTAACAATTTGTTACTTAAGAACAAGAAAGTAAATTCTGTTTTTTTTTTAATCTCTTTAAAATTTTAGATTTTTGTGTTTATTGCTTTATTCCTTTATTTTTTGATTCAATAATTGTGGAGTAACTCAGAGTTACTCCAAAAAGAGCCTATTTATATTTCCACAAATGAGAAAATTTAATGGTTGATTTACTTTTCCTATTCTAACTTGCATGGCCAAAGTATTGCCCTGGAAACTTATAAATATATGTTACAGATGAAACAGAATTATTGTAGATGTTAAGCTTGACTTTTTATCTTAGCTTCAGTTGCACATACTTCTCATAATTTTTGTTAGAAGAGTGAAATGGTAATGAGTTAATTGCAGTAGTGAAATTAACAAACCACTTTATTTTACAGGGAAAATATTTATTCCTAAACAGAAACCTGCACAGACTTTTACGGAAGAAAAAGTATCTCTTGATCCAGAATTAGAAGAAGCTTTGACAAGTGCTTCTGATACAGAATTGTGTGACCTTGCAGGTATATCCTAAAACACATTAATGTGAATGAGTATGGAGGGGAGGGGAACACCAGCACACACCTATATATATATTATACAGATGCATCCTTTGCCCAGCAAAGTGCTATTGAATTAGTGACCACATATTTGGCTTTGTTTTTTATACTATAAATCTGACATACAGAATTCCATTTCTTTACATTCTCTCATGGTGAAATTTTTATGTTAATGGAATTTATTGTATTATTTGAAATCTTTTGTCATGTTGCTCTTTTAGAAAGCTTTTATAAAAATCTTCCATCACTTGGTGTGCTCAGCTAGAAGTTATCCCATCTGAGCACTGAAAAAGAGTCTTTAATTTTGTCAGAAAGACTCTAAAATGGGTAACTAGAAAGCATTTGGGTAACAGCCGTGAACTATACTCACCACTTTCCCAACTTTTCTGAAGTGTATATGGGACACTCCAAACCTCCCTGTTATTTTCATCATTGCCAGTTTCTTATCTGTACTGTTATCTCTCCCACCTATCTCCACACACACCCATTTTCTTAGGTAGAAAAATATGACACATGGGGAAGTCTTAGTCCCAAGAACTAACGTTTGAAAGGAGCAGTGACGGTTCTTTCGGAAGGACCCAGGAAGGGATAATCAAGGTGTGGTGCTACAACCAGAGCAGGTGTCTTATTCCTGGGTGTTGAGGACCAATGGATTTGTAAATAGTGCATTCATCATTGCAGAATGGGCCCTGGGCACACGGTAGCTTCTGCCTCGTTTATGTAAAAAGACATCAAAAACAATCAGATCTATTTCTCATATCATTTTTGAGGGACACTATTTTAATCTTAAACATGAGAATTCAACCATACTTTTATTATTCTACTCTTAGCTAAAATACAAATGTAAATTAATATGAGAGTTGACAGATGTAAAAATAGTGAAGGTTAAGTTGAAAATCTGCCCTGTATAGCATGATTTTGTTAGAAACCTTGTGAGAAAGATGAACAGCAAAAACAGATCGTTTCAATTTTCTTCCATAGCCACCAGATGGAGCAAAGCATAGATTTACATTTAGGGTTAGGCAGGCTACAGCTATATGAATTCAGAAATGTGGGGAAAATAATAAGGGCATTGAAGAGAAAGAGATTGTAAGTGATTTTTAATCGCTTTGTCTCCTTTTTTTTATTTTTTTGGCTGCAAAATCTGTATTTAATTGAGTAGGAGAATGTTAAAATGTTTGATAGAAATTTTTGATTCTAAAATTCTTTATGTTTAAAACTGATGTAAATAAAAGATAATTTTATTTTTCTACATTTATAGCTATTCTTGGGATGCACAATTTGATAACGAATACACAGTTGTGTAATATAGTGGGAAGTAGTAATGGTGTCGATCAAGAACACTTTTCAAGTAAGTACTTACAATGCTTTGTGAATTCCAATCCTTCATTAAATATATTTTGCTTTCTCCATGTATCAACTTCAGTATATATATTTAGATGGCATTGACATAGAAAACCATTGAAAATAGAACATTAAATATTTTATGCTTACTGTATCAGCAAATATAGGAACCACTCTCACCTCACTAAATACTAATGGTAAACAGTATAAGAGCTAATCAAATGTGGCTTTTGTTGACATTTTTTTTTTCAATGTTACTGATTTTCAAGAAATCCATAACAGTGCTAACAAAGTACATTATAAAATCAGATTCAAGAGAAACCACAGAACAATTTAGCTCCTAAACCTTTTAGTCTGATGTAAAGTATTAAATAGCCTAAACCAGAGCTTTTTAAAAATTCATTTATAGGATGTTTTAAAATTACCGAAGTAATACATACTTTTGTAGCACATTTTAACAATACCTAAATGAATAAAGTAGGAAGTAAAAGTGTCTATTTGTAGCCATCATGCCTCCTACTCTCCATACCCCCAACCCTAATTATTAGCAAGTTGGTTTGTATCTTTCTAGACTTTGTATTATGTTTATGCAAACTTATGTATGTATATAATCTTTTTTGTATGTTACATATTTTTATTTTTTTATTTTTATTTTTTTTTACAAAAATGGAATTATACTATAAATAGCTCTTGCAACTTAATTTTCTAAAAAAGTACTATTGGCTGATATTTTTGAATGCTGACTATGGGCCATGTTCTATGCACAGCTCTTTAATGTGACCTGTTCTCATTTAACACTTAACAACAATTCTATGAAATAGATATTATTATTATCCTTAATTTGCATGTGAAGGAGCTAAGGTTTTGGAACGATTAGGGAACTAACTTGAATGTCACTTAAAGTCAGTGGTGAGGATTTTAACACATGCTAGAAGGTGTATCACTTAGCAATATATAATGTTTTCTGGTTAGTACATACAGAGCTATCTCATTCAGACATCTGTATTACACTCTCATTTATGAATGTTCTATAATTTGTTGTAGAAATGTTCAAGCATATATAGTAGAAGAGAGAATAATACATGCATCACCCAGCTTCAGCTCTTTTTAACATTTTGCCAGCCTTGTATCTCTCAGCATCTGCCTCCCTCCTTACCCCTCCCACCTCTTTTTTTCCTGGAATACTTAAAAGCATATCCTGTTTGTTTGTATTGCTTTACTCATAAATATTTCCATATGTGTCTTTCCCAAGTAAGGACTTTTAACACGCCATTATCTAACTTAAAAATTAACAATAATTTCTTCATATTATCTAATACCCAGTCCATGTTCAGACTTCCCTGTTTTCTTAAAAACATTCCACTGTTGGTTTGTTCCAGTCAGGGTCCAAATAAAGATCACATTGCATTTTGTTGTCATATAGATTCAGTTTTTCTTAATTTCTTAATAGTTCTTCTCCTCAACCTCTTTCCCCTTTCTTCATGCCATTTATTTCTGGAAGAAACTGGGCTAATAGTTACATAGAATTTTCTACATTCTGGATTTGGCTGATTGCAACCTGTGCTTTCATTTTCCATGTTTCTCTATCCTATGTTTCTGTAAACTGTTATTTTCTAGAGGCTTGATCAGATTCAGGTGCAATTTTTTGGTTTTTGTTTTTGGGCAAGAATGCTTTCTAGGTGGTGATTGAATCACATTAGGAAGCATATCATGTCTGGCCATTCCTCTTTGGGAAATGTATTAGGTTTGATCAGTGGATTCAAATGTTGCAGCCTGATCCATCCATTTAAAGTTCCCCATAAACCTTTCTTAAGGGTTTTAGCATCTCATTGACTGGATCCATTATTTTATTAGGGAGCAAGGCTCCTTAAATATACGTATTCCGTGGCATGGGGAAAGGACTCTTGGTTTTTATAAAATTTTAAATTGAGAAAGAACTTGTTCAATTTTCCATTCAGTGAGGAAGCTCTTCTTCAGCCCCCTTAATCTACCATCTTGAGGAAGACTGCCCTGCTGAAATGCTTGAGAGGGACCCATTCTGTCCTTTTAGCAGAGCTCTGTTAGGAAGCTCTTCCTTTGTGTTGAACTAAATTCTGCCTCCTGGCAAAATTCTAACCCAGCCTTGCAGAACAACATGAAATTTTTCTCTCCTCCTTCAACAGGATAAATCTTAAAATGAGGATATTCTTTTAATATATACTTCCAAGCTAATTATATCCAGATCTTTCAACTGTCCTCAAAAATATAATTTTCAGACCTCCATCTAAGCTGTGTGTGTGTGTGTGTGTGTGTTTTATTTGAAAAGAACAAAGTGCTCTTCAAAGTAATTTATTGTACGAATAAGTATATACCTTGTTTTAAGATGATTTTTGCTCCTAAAAGCTAGAGGAGAGCAGATAGGAAGAAGTGAGCCAGAAAATGAGCCTGTCAGTCTTTCCATGTCAGTTGTTCTTAACATTTTTGTAGTCAGTCACCTCTTTGAGAATCTGATTCTTTGAGAATCTGGTGCTCTCTCCAGAAAGTTTATCCATAAAAGTTTGCCTGTTATAGGGTGTTCATAGACCTCCACATACATGTCAGAGCACACTTATCTTATTAGAGGGTTCAGGACTTCCAGGTCCTCTTTTAACTTTGCATAGTTGTATCCTGGCCATGTGCATGGGTATAGTATATGTGGTGAAGGATTGGGGTTATGAATGAAGGAGGGCAGTAATTTTTGGAATTTCTGCCTCAGCAGCAGCTCTGTTGTATCATTACCTCTCTCTGTCTCCCCATTCTCTATTCCTATTCTTCTTAGTAGAGAATCCTCCCCTTTTTCCATTGCGTAGTACTCTCCTTGGTAAGGTGTCTTTCCATCGCCTTACTCTTCTCATCAAGGCTGTATTTATTTATTCAAGTCTATGATTCTTACTGCCTTTACAGTAATTATTAGATCTCAGAGAAAATGGTAGTAAATGTTAGATTTGAACATATTCAAACTTTATCTTAAACATTGCTAAAAATAAATGGGAATATTGGTTTGTGTTATCAAATATATTTTAGTGGTAAAGATATCTTAATAAACCAAGAGGCAGGGAAAATATTCATTTTTGAAGGCTGATACATTGCAAAGAAATGTTGAATTATGCTTAGTATATATTCAGTAAAATTTTGAGTACTTTAAATATGTCAACACATAAAGGATCATTAAGAAAGCATGGAGAAGAAACTTTTCGTTCTTCTAAATATATTTGTGTATGTTATATGTGTTAGAAAGTTCATGTATGCATCCACTGTAATAGTGTCAAACCAAAGAGACTCTTGCTCTTCTCATTTATTACTGCAGATGTAGTAAAAGGTGAAAAGATTGTTCCAGTATTTGATGAACCGCCAAATCCAACCAATGTTGAAGAAAGTTTAAAGAGAATTAAAGAAAATGATGCTCGTCTTGTTGAAGTTAATTTGAATAATATAAAGGTAGCTATGCTAAGCAAACAAAGTTTTGAATTGCTTTGAGTCAAGTAGATCTAGCATGAGAGCTGGGCAGTTTTGATATAGTTTAATTTTTTCTACATAAAGGTAAAGTTTTTGCTCCCAGTAGCCTGCTAACACAGATTTCTTCATATTTTAGAAATTAAAAGTATTACAGTATTATTCTGACTTAGTTTTTAAAGAGTATCATATGAAAATGTAAACCCTACATACTTGTCAGTGTAAATCTCTTTGGCTTCCAAAGTACTGCCTGCTTTTCAGATTATTTAGTCTTTTGGTTTTGTTTTTTTATCAGGTTTCTTAAGGTTTAATTTACCTACAATAAAATTCTCTCTTTTTAGTGTACAGTTCTATGAATTTTGACAAATGCATACAGTTGTACAACCACTGCCACAATCAGATGTAGAATATGTCATACCCCTTCATCTACATTCTCTGCCCCCAGCTCTAGCCCCTGTCAATCACTGATTTGTTTTCTTTCCCTGTCATTTTGCCTTCTACAGAATCATATAAATGGAATCATATAGTATGTACCTTCGAGTCTTCTTTCACTTAGCGTAATGCATTTGAGATTCATCCATGTTGTTGCATTTATCAGTAGTTTGTTTCTCTATATTGTCGAATAGTAGTGTATTGTATGACTATGGTGCAATTTGTTTATCCATTCACCAGTTGACAGACATATGGGTTATGTCTAGTTTAGGATGATTATAAGTAAAACCACTATACACATTCATATCCAGTCATATGTTTTGTGTAAACATGTTTTTATTTCTTTGAGTAAACACTTAGAAGTAGGCTTTCTGGGATCTTAATTACAGCTCTTCACTGGAGTAAATGAAGAAATGAGCTACAAGGGCATAGGATAGGGATAACTAGTTACCAAAGAATAAACTCAAATTATCCCATGGGTATTGGCCATTACATAATAGCTTTATTCCAAATTCCTCATTTTAAATCTTGTTTTATCTGAATTGGGGCTGGAGGTAGCATCTGGAATTACAAGAACCTGGAGTATAAAACCTCTGTACCCTTCTAGCAAGTGTTCTTTCCTATAAGAGGAAGAATGAAAGCCTTGGAAAAAGCTAATATCCCTAGTTGATCACAAATTTTATTAATTCTTTAAAAATCCTTTCCTCATATATCTCTGTCTCTAAATCAACAGTAATGTTCTGAAAATAACCAAGCTACAGAGAATTGAAGTCTTAATACTAAAGGAAAAAATTAGTGCCTTCTAGAACTATGTGTTTCCACATTTCAAGTAGTGTAGGGTTAATCTCTCTTAATACCTCGGAGTATAAACTAAAGCACTGAGAACAGTATGTCATCTGCCTCAGGAATCATACTCACTAGAGGTGGGCTCCCACATCTTTCTCTTTGTAGAAAGTGGATTCACTTTGAATTCTCAAGTGCTGACTTCTTATAACATGAATAATTAAATGTAGAATAGCAAGAGTTTCTTGAACCTAAATGCTAGAGAAATGGTTGATATATACTCTGCTCCAGGTCAACAGTTTATGCAAATTTACCATAATACAGAAGTCAGATAGATACAGGGGAGACTGAATTATTTGTTTTCATTTGTAGACTAACTGTTGTGTGTTTATATAATTTCTGAGTATATTTTAATGAGCAAAAGTAAATACAAAAATATGTGATTAATGATCTGAATGTCCTGAACACTGAAATGTATTAATGTCTCACACTACTGTCTTTCCAGAACATACCGGTTCCAACCCTAAAAGGTTTTGCGAAGGCTTTGGAGACCAACACACATGTGAAATATTTCAGTCTTGCAGCCACGCGGAGCAATGACCCTGTCGCTATTGTAAGTAAGCTGCTATTGATAATATTAGATTTATGACTACATGCCAGGGGCATATACAGTGTGTAATAGGTGCTGTCATATTTTAATCTCCAAATATTTTCTTTTAATTTCTAGGCTTTTGCTGATATGCTGAGAGTGAACAAAAATTTGAAAAGCTTAAATATGGAGTCCAACTTTATTACAGGAGCTGGGATTCTAGCACTAATTAATGCTTTAAGAGATAATGAAACCCTGGCAGAGCTCAAGATTGACAATCAGGTCAGTGCTACAGCAGTAACTTTGAGGAAACTACAGCCCACATGGCTGTGTAGGGCTTAGGGACTCGGGGCAGGTGGGAGGAGGGCTTTCAGGGAGCCATTTGGGAAGGTGGTGACACAAAAGGGAATGAGAGGGCATTTGAGGCATCTGGAATATTAACTTAATATTTTTAGTATAGGTTCTTAGTATATTCATAGAGTTTTGGAACCATCACCACTATCTAATTCCAGAACATTTTCATCACCCCACAAAGCAACTCCATATCCATTAGCAGTCACTCCCTATTCACCCCTCCCACCAGCCCCTGATAACTACTAACCTACTTTCTGTCACTATGTATTTGCCTATTCTGGACAATTTATATAAATAGAATTATGTAATATGTGGTCTTTTCTGCCTGCCTTCTTTCCCTTAGCAAAATGTTCTGGAGGTTCATCCATGTCATAGCATATATAAGTACTTATTCATCTTCATGGCTGAATAATATTCCATTACATTTGGGTTTCTACCTTTTGAATATTAGGAATAATGCTTCTGTGAACATTCATATACCAGTTCTTAGATGAACATACGTTTTCATTTTTCATGGGTATGTACCTAGGAATGGAGTTGCTCTGTCATATGATAACTCTTACGTTTAACTTTTTGAGAATGGCCAACTTGTTTTCCACAGCAACTGCAACTCCACCATTTTACAGTCCCACTAGCTTATGTGAGGGTCCCAGTTTGTCCACATCCTTGCCACCCTTGTCATTGCCTTTGTGTTTTTGATTAACAGTTATCCTGTGGGTATGAAGCAGTATCTCATTGTGGTAATCCACAACTTTTCAGTGTCTGTATGATATGTACTGAACTTTAAAATTTTGTTTCTCTTATGTATGTGTAAAAATTGGGAAAACTTTAAAAGACCAACAGAAATAGTAAGTACTTCAGTGTCTTAGTCTTGACTTACCTGGAAAAGCATTTTGATCTAGTTTATTAATACTGTTCTGTATCTCTGATTATTCCAGAGGCAGCAGTTGGGGACGGCTGTAGAATTGGAAATTGCCAGGATGCTTGAGGAAAATACAAATATCCTTAAATTTGGATATCAGTTTACACAGCAGGGACCCCGAACCAGGGCAGCGGATGCTATAACAAAAAACAATGACTTAGGTAAGATATATGCAGTATCAAGTCAAATTTCCAAATTATACCATTAAGCTAATGTATTGGAGGAACTTTTTTTTTTTTTTTTTTTTTTAACTTTTAAAATAAATTTTAACAGATTATTTGGCCTTTGTTTCTAAAATCTATGGGGTCCTTTTTATACCGATTGAATCTGGTCAGTTTAAGTGAGGTTGTAGTGATTATTGGGTTGGTTAGTGGGTAAAATCTATTTCTCGTAACAATCATTTCACAACTTTAAGTAAACAAAGTTTCCTACAACAAACATTATAATAAATGCTTCTTATAACAAGTATTTTGTTCTCAACAAGTCACCACTTGGTGCTATCAAAGCAAAGACTTCAACATTACAGGAAAGGTTTTGTCCTTTTTCTCAAACAGGCCTAGAGAGAAATTCAGTCTTATAACATACAGAATAATTATAACTTGAACCCAAATTTTTATAGTCAATGGTATGTAAATGTTCGCTGTACTTACCAGTCTCCCTAACAGCTATTACTAGGCAGTTGGTCTTCTCACTGCACACATCTAGGTCAGGAGTCTCCCTTCCTTTCATGGTTCCTCTTGAACTGTTGAGGCTTATGGCTTCTGCTTGAAATAAATTTTCCAGCCAAAGCTGAATTAAAAAATAAGATGCTTATAATTTTGTTTCTGCACGTGTCTAAAAATCGACTCTTCTTTTAAGTTTGGTGTTTGTCACTGAGATATTTTAAAATATGCGTTTAGACAAGAATTAAAATAAAACTTCTCAAATGGAGTAACATTTCAAAGTAATGCAGTTGTTTTAAGCTTCAGCTGTATTTGAATTTGAATTCCTTAAAGGTTTCTGGAGCAGAAAAAATACAACTTCATTCCTTTAATTGAGATCACTGGGGAAAAAGTATTAGTTTGCAAAGTCATGCTAATTGTTTTACATTGATTCGCTAGTTGGCTTCTATAGTTTCCTTCAGGTATTTAATTTTGCTTTTTAGAGTCATGTTTCTCAAGTCTGAACTTCACAAATAATTTGAGAACTTCAAGAACATAGATTCTTGGCTCTAAAAAAAGTTTTTACTTAGTAAGTTAGTTATACTTCATTGTGATTGTCTATTTTCAAAGACTTTTTTCAAGCTTTTTGAGGGCAGAGGCCATATGTATCTGTTGAATCCACAACTCTCTTAAAACTATGCCTGACAGTAGTAGGCACTTAATAAAGATTTATAAAGTGAATAAAGAAAGTGATAGAATTTGATTGCTGCTCAAAGTTTAATTTTCTCAGAATTAAATAGCAGTAAACTTAAGCCAAAAGCATTCTCCATTTTTTCTGTCCTCTGAAACTACCTTAGCTATCTCAGGATCCTACCAACAGATTTGTAGCCCCAACCATCTCTCTCATCTGTGTCCCTCCCAGGAGGCAAGTGATCCCAGCAGCTGTTATACAGGAGAGCAGCACAGTGAGAGCCCATGTCACCCAACAACAGGGATGCCAACCTTTGCAAGGCCTTAGCAGTTGTGCTCTTCTGAGGAGTCTGTTGTGGCAGGCACTTTGCTCAGATTTCTATAAGAAAAGAAGTGAGTAAGGGAGATTTTCGACAGATGGAAGATGAGGGACTAGGTGAAAACTATTTCCTAGGCTGCTTTATGTTGACATTGAGCAGTTGAGTAGCTGTGCATGGCCGTGTGTGTAGAGGGTGAGGAGGCCATGTTAAAGGAATCGTGATCTGACACAAAGCAGAACTGAGAGAAAGCAAACAGCTTTGTGCTGGTAGCTCTCTAGGTCACCTCTCTCCCATCTCATTCTCATTCTGATCCAAACTAGATTTTCAGGCATAAAATCTAGACTCAGGCATGAAATGAGAATAAGGACATTCCTAGAGTGGGGAATTGCATGGATAAAAGCTCAGATGTGGGAGCAAGTAAGTTATTTATATTCCGAGGACAGCCTGCAAAATTTGAGAACTGACTCTAATAGGAGGATGCTGCTTCCAGAATAAATTTTCAATATGTACTTGCTGCTTGAAGCTAACAATAAAAATGTGATGTCAGCAGGCTAAGAGGGAATGCTGGGAGAAGGCACTAAGATTACATGGTAAAAGACTTAGATTTCTTTGGATTTTATGTGGGAGGCATTCCAGAGCCATTATAGGCCACTGAATGCATGCTTAAAATGATAGTTCAAAAAAAATTCTTATTTTTAGAGTTAGAGATGATATGAGCTTAGTAGGACTTATTTGCAATTGACTGATCGTGAAGTATTGAGAACTTATGTTAGTGCAGTGGATTTTGGAAAGAAATTGCCAAATAATTGGTAATGGGGCCAGATTTCCAAGCCTCTCATCTGGAGGCTGAACCAAGGAATTGCTGGAAGGTAATAGCTGGCACCAAGTGAGAAAGAGGAGTCAGGAATGGCTCTGCTCCATCTTCTGCTGTGTTGTGCTCCCAGAACCCTTATCTTAATTTTTTTTTTCAGCCCTATACTCTGATCTCTGCCTACAGATCAGTGTGGCAAGCCTGAAGACTTTGTTTTCTTAAATGCAGTCTAATATGTAGTCACCGGAAAGAGATATCAAAGAACAAGACTTGAAAGAAACTTGTACAGAATTTCTCAGTCATATAATTTTTCTTCACCTCGCAAATAGGGCTATAATCAAATCTTTAGTGTTCTGATTTTGATAATGTCATTCCCTTTCTCATTGTTTTCATCTCAACTATTCATTGAAATAATCCTACCTACTCGCCATCTTTCCAGCTATGAAGTGTCATAGCTATAACAGCAAAGAGGTTATATGTTACACATGCAGTATTCAATTAAACTTAGAGTGTCTTATTCCTATTTTTACACCAGCTAACTACATAATTTTCTACACTGTTTTTGTTTACTCCGCTCTGTCCTGTAGATCTTGTTTTATAACATGTATATTTTTATAACATGCATAACATCTGAAAAGGTCTGTCAGTAACATCCAAACCCTGTTGCCACTCATAATTTTCTTGGAAATGTTCTACCCTAAAGAATTATCTGGTTTGTTTCTCAGACATTTCTATATTTTTCAGAGATCTATCTATATACATGTGTGAATTAGGTTTGCTTTTGAGGACTAAAGTCTCCATTTTATTTTTCCCCTTAGTATTTCAATAAACACATGAAACTTGTTCTTCATTAACATGGACTAAAATTAGAGTCAGGGACATACTTAATTAGATTCTATTAGTTTCTATTAAAATGTTCATAGAAACTTGATACTTTAGTCCTCCTTGTTTTTATTTTCTAGCTAGCACCCAGCCAATGGCTGGACAAGATTTTATGCACATCACTTGAATGTCTGGTCTCATCCATTGAAGACCAATAACAAAAGCTAGCAGTCAGAATAGCATGAGAGCAGAGCATCTGTGCCCCGGCCAGGAGGCCAAGTGCACCTACTGGCTTTTCATTCCTCTGTTAAACAGTCAATTCAAACTGAAAAAAAGCAGTTGCCTTCCTACTTGCTTCCATAGATAGAAGAGAGTATAAAATTAATAGGCCAAAAATCTAACTTAAACAGAGAAACTTACTGCTAAGAGTATCAAAACCAATAATGCGTAAATGCAAATCCTTTAACTATAAAAGCCAAATTGGCTTTCCTTACCCCAAAAAAGATGGCCTACCAGGGCCTCAGGACCATCCTTGTAACCCTGCTGTGGTAGGTGATAAAGCTGAGTATGCTTCATTAAATGTTTACTATGTTCTTAGTACTACACTAAGCAGCTTGTTGTCCTTTTAACTGCACAACCGTGAGGTACAGATATTATTGTCTTGTAACAGAGAATGAAAAGTTAACTTACTTGCCAGAGAGCGCATTACAAAAAAGTAACAACCATGATTTACACTGTATTTGTTGCTGACTCCAGATCCAGAACCTGTACTTTTTGTCCTCTCTAAATAGTATGTGCCACAATGCTGATAGCTCTTGGCAAATGCTCTCTGGTGGCTGATAAGTGAGAGTGAAGGTAGCAAGATCCTGAAGTCGAAGACCTTGGCCTGCTACATCTGAGCACAACCTAGCGGGTTGGGGTCACAAGTCCGTGAAGAAGCTGTGGTATACGAATCTCAGATATTTGCATTTTCCTACTCCATCAGCTGAACTAGTTGGCTGACTTCTTTGGCAGCCAGGTTTTAGGGTAGCCAGCTGTGACCTCACCATATGACCAAGGTCTCAGATTTTCATTACTTTGCGTATTTCGTTTTGTCAGAGCCCTGGGATACAAAAGAAGGAAACTTTGGAGAGCAGTAGCAAGTCAACTTTAAAAATGACAAAACTGTTTTTGGTATATTCTATCACAGACTAAGGAAATAGATTATAGTGCCTAATCAGAAGAGCATGCATATAGTTAATTTTAATACTTTCTAATTCCAACTGCTTGGGTATCATTTCAAAATTTAACACAATAATTTCTTAATCATTTTTTTAATGGAGGTATAAACTTTTTTAATAAACAAATGAGACAGGCACCATGACTTGAATGTGATTGCTAATCATTGTTTTAGATTTCTAACATGGCTATGTAAGCACAGGTAAGCTTAGGACATGCAGTTCTCATTTCGAAGCCCCTCGTTTCCCAGCAGGCAAATAACAAGGATGAAGGATGTGAAATTTTTTATTTTAAAGGCCAGTTGAACCAGAAACAGACATTTCATTTTTGTATAACTATAATTGGATTATACAGAAATTTGTTTGTAGTAAGTAAGTTATCACTGTACAAACTAACAGGGATTTTTAACATACTTTCTTTTATTTTTCACACAGTTCGCAAGAGACGAGTTGAAGGAGACCACCAGTAAGTCAGCCAAAGTATAACCTTTGGAGGACTTTGAAAGGTCACCAAGGGCTCCTGTTGGTGATATCAGATGTAAAATTTTCCTGAGTAGAAGGGAAAAGACTGGAAATCTTTCTTTTTTTAAACTACATGTATCTTTTCTTCTAGTTTAAGTTGTTACCAGTTTCAAGTTGTAAAATCAGTAGTAGGTGATATTTTATGTTTTAAAGCACTATTTCTACTTTCTGCTAAAATCAGTTTTAGCTTAATTAAATGGTTTATGATGGGTTAAAAAATACAATTATAAAAATGTTTAGGAAGTAATGGAGAATAAAACGACCAGTCTTTAAGGACCAATCTTTTTTAAATCAAAAAGGGACATTGCTGACATCAGAATTGCTGTTGCACCTTTTAGGTGCAAGGCACTTCAAAGCTTTCCTTATTCCAGGATATGGAGACTTTTCCAAATTTTAGAATACATGAACTTGGCAAGAATGTGCTTTTTGCTTCTATCAAAAAAGCACAATGCCAGAATTTTGAAACAGATGACTCAAAATTTAGTCATCTGTTGAGGAGTAAAAGCAGATCTCTAGGAAAAATGGTCTTCTGCACATTCCAGGTTACTGCACTTGTCTGATATATCTTAGCAACACTTAAGAGTTTTCAAAGTATATAGCATTATCTAAATTCATTATAGTTTTTCATTTTAATAATGTGCACAATATTAAATTTTTATTTTTTATTTTTTTGGGGCATTATTAAATTTTTGTGAAAGCCCAGAGTAAAAAGCATCTGAGTAGGAAAGCTATCTTCTTCCCTGTAAAAGGCATACAGCCAACTCTTGGCCATTTAGGGTAAAGGCAAAAAGAAAGCTGTTGTTAAACACACGAAATCAGAGATAATAAATATGATGGAGGTTAAGTCTGAGGAGCATGAAAACGGTCATTTAATGGTTACTGTAAAGGAAATTAGAAACTGGCATGCGTATAAATCAAGCGTTAAACAGTTTAGTGTGAATTTTCTATATGCAATGCACAGTTCCATAAATGGTATTTAATCACCACTCACTACAAATTTTCCAACCAGTAAGGAAAACTGCTCTTTGTAAATCTAATTTTTATTATGTTTCCTTTCATCTTACACTTTTTAGTCCATATTATGTAAAAGTAATTTCTCGTAATGAAAGTTGTCTTCATATTACTCAAAGTACCAAGGTGAACAATTGAACAGTGTGCTGTGGTGGGAAGACTGACTCCAGACCACCAGTGTAATAGAGGATTTAGACCTGTATCCATGCCCTGGAAGGTGGTAGAGGCATTACAGCTGGCGAAGGCAGGGACAAAGGAATCTGAGTAATCCTGGCCTCAGAAATTCAGAGCTGGCTATGTCATATATAGGGAGATTTTTCTAAAGGGAAGAATCTCATTTCAGAGTCGCAGAGAAGTCTGTTGTTAACTTTTTTTTTTTTGAAATTGAGTTACAGAATGTCTGCTCCTTTAGCTTGGAGTGGACAGTTTATCCAATGAACTAGGCAGCTTCTTGTATACTGTCATAATAAGCCTTCTTAACAGGTGTGTTTGTTTCTTTGAATTAGTATCCAGTATTTTAAAGGGGCCAAAGATTAACCTTGCACTATTCCCTTTCAGTCATAGGCTGCTGATTTTTTTAAAGTTAGCAAGTATCTCTCTCTCTCTTTCTCCTTTTCATATACTACTTTGGAAATGTACTTGATTTTACAGACTGCACTGTTCCAGCAGGGTAGGGAGCCAGCATGGAGCAGGTATATAAGGCTACCATTACACTTTTAGCAAGGCTGTCTTGCTTGCGCTGTCCTGTAAGTCAATGCATTGATAAGTATGTGTCCCTTTCCTCCCATAAGTTTTGTTGTTTTTTTTTAAAACGTAGGTAGGCAAGACTTCACCTAGAATTGTGTATCATACTTATGGATAATATCATTTTCATTTACTATTTATCAAAATATGAAGTTGAGTGTTTTGCTTGTACCATTCCAGTTTTGAGCTACAATGCAATAGTTCATTATCTAATTGAAGAAAATATTAATTGAAGAAAATATTTCTTCATAAATAACTTTAAAGATGAATATTCATCTGATTGAGTGCAGAAAAATCAACAATCATAATTACAAGGGAGAAAACTGATGTTTACTTTGATCTTTAAAAACCTGGCACCACTTAGCCTTTTAGTAACTTTTGGAATTTCTACACTGATCTAAAATTTTGTAATAGATTAGGGTTGATTTTAAAAATCGAGTAGTCTTGATTTTTAAACCAAAGATGTTCTAAGACCCTAAGTTTTATAGTCTAATCAGTTTAAACTTACCTGGTTTTCTAATCAAAGAATATTGTTTGCATTTTTAAATTACTGTTTTTTAAAAGTCTTTAACTTCCCATTTTATAAAATTTTATATCCATACTTGTCTGAAGTTCTAATTTTTCCAGTATGTCTACATGAAATTGTATGTATTTTAAAAATCAATATTAATTACTAATATTGATATTACAAAAATGGATTTTGGTGCTATGTACTTGTAGCTAAAGCCTAGTAGAAGTCTAAAAGAAAGGTGAAATACATTTTCTAAGGGTGCCTGTTATTTAAAAGACCAAATAAACATTTTTGTTTAAAAAAAATTAGCAGATTGTTAAAGATTTCAAGAATTATCTTGATCATCAAATGGCAAATTCTTGTTATTTGAATGAAATAACCCACATATTTGTTTTATGCAGTAGGTGTACTCTGGAAAAGTTACATGTAAATAGAACTTTGTAAATTGTTTTTCCATTGACAGTATCTGATGCGTTTTCATTTAAAAGGGTGATCCATGCTATTAAAAAAAATTAGAAAAAAATATATTTTGAAAAAATGTTAGCCGTGTTCTATTGTACATTATATTTAACCCTTGCTGCCATTAAATAAGATGAAAAGATACTTGAGGTATCATAAAATCTTATATTTTTGGCTCTGTGTTCCCAGGGCTGCCTCACTTTTTCCTTATAAAATCAGGAACCACTGTTAACCTCCAAGAACATCTGAGGAGCATGCTTTTTCTGGAGTCCAGAGCAGTTTCTATTCTCTGCAAGTTCAGTACTGTCCAACTTTGTTCTTTCATATAATGCCACCTCATTTAAAATGTTTCTCCCAGTTTTATTGAGATATAATTGACATTTAACATGTTAGAAGGTGCACAACATAATTATTTAGTATATGAATATATTACAAAATGACTACCACGATAACATCCATCACTTCACATAGTTAAAAATGTTTAAAATCTACCCTCTTAGCAATTACAGTACAGTATTGCTAGCTATAGTCGTGTCTTGTCCAGGGTTTATTCACTGTATAACTGAAAGTTTGTACCTTTTAACCACCTTCACCCATTTACCTTACCCCATCCCTTGCCTCTGACAACTACCAATCTGTTCTCTGTTTCTAAGAGTTCATTTTTTTTTAAGATTCCACATGTGAGATCATACAGTATTTGTCTCTGTCTGACATATTTTACTTAGCATAATGCTCTCAAGGCCACTTCACTTTTGAATAGTATTACCTGAAGACATGGCGTCCCCGAGAACCTAGTACATGGATGTACCAGAGCAACTCCTGTTGCTGCCCTCAGACAGGGGCACTTTTTAGATTTGTCTGCTTAAGAATTGTTTTTAAAAAAACTGGCACATATGCATATGTATGCACACACACACATTGCACAAAAACCGTTTTTTAAATTTCAAATAAACGCCCAGTTTATATTTTTCAGTCTTTTGGATGAATTATATTTGGTTTTAGTTTTGTTTAAAAGCTTGAAAATTACCTTTGTAGCAATACATCATTCTTTGTCACATTAATTAGGTATTTAAATACATTTTTAATACTAAAATATCCAAAATGCTGTAGATGCTTTTTTCAATTTTTATCAATTTAAAAGCAGTATATTTTAAAATAATGTCTAAATATTACAAAATATTATTAACCTGGTTCATAATGGCACAGTAAAGTTTCTTTTGACGAACATGTACTATAGGCATTTAGAAGTTACCACTTCATACTGGGATAAATAATTTCAATAAAGTTTATCAAATATCCTGTAGACTTGGACTTTTTGAAAATCCCTTTAATTCAGATGTTTTAAAGTTCATGCCTTACACACCTCTTCAAGAACAAGCTTATTAATTTTCCTAAAAATAGTAACTTCATATGGTTCGATCTAATACCATCAGTACTCGGTGAGGTCTGTCCATAAAACTGAATTGAGTTGACAAATGTGAAGAAACAGGGTCCTATGATACAGTGCATTCTGGACCTGACTGGCAACCAATCCCGCTAAAAAAAGTAGAGATTATTTTTACAGTAAAGACGTCAGTCACCTATATCCACCAACCAAAAGAGTAAATCAGTGAAACTTGTAATAGGTTTGAGGAAACTTTTAGGGATGTGTCAGTTTAATTGAAAAATGTACATAGTTCTGAAACTTAGGGAAATAAAGAAATTCCCCTTGAATTTTTAATGTTGGCTGGCCTTCTGAGTGTGGCTGTTGGGTTACGTTCACTTAGAGGAAGCTTCGGTGCCAGTCTCCTTGGCAAGTTGAGTTGTCGGGTAACTTTAGCTCCTTGCAAATCCAAGTGGATGTGCCAAGAACTGTGGCCATGGGGAGACAGCACCTTCATGCTTAGCCAGTAGCACCCTGCTCTTTTATGTACCAGATAACGGGTGGTCAGCCACATGTGGGTCCAGAATCACCAAACAACTTTTGTTCTTCAGATGTTAAGCTTTCCTGCATGTCTGCAAAGGTTGAAGCCCCAGAAATCCCAGCCTGACTCCCTCCCTCCAGTCGTTTACAGACATAGCAGAGCCTTAAGGCCAGCCCTTATAAAGAATAGGTGGCCTGAGTGACATCAGTGGCCATTGTTTCGCTCCTTAAATTTACAAGTCAAACAGTGATACCTCCACCACGGATCATCTGCTCGACACACAAACATGCCTGAAAGACCATGCACTGGGACTTCTGGGTATATTAGAATGAGTAGAAGAACTGGTACTGATGGAAGGACAGAGACAGACAGTGGCCACAGATGCAGTTCAGTGCCCATTATGGCTCATGGCTCCAGCAACCACAGTAGCCATGGAGAATTTGAGCTGCAGCCTTCACACTATAGTCTGGAGCCTAAAAGGGGCAGAAGCAGTTTCCTGAAGGCATCTCTCTTCCTCTCTCCCCATCTTGGCACAGCCAGGTAGAAGTGGCTAGGAAGCTTTAAACAAAACATTGGTGCTAATTTACAATAGCCAAAATAGGGAAGCAACCTGAATGCCCATTAACAGATGATTGGATAAAGAAGTTACGGTTCACATACACAATAGAATATTACTCAGCCATTAAAAAAAATGAAATCCTACCATTTGCAACAACATAGATGGCTGCAAATGGTTGTTATGCTGAGTGAAATAAGTCAGAAAGAAATACCATATGATTTTGATACGTAAAACCTAAGGAACAAAACAAACTGATCAAAAACACAAATATATAGAGGACGATCTAGTGACGGCCAGAAGGGGAGTGGGGTGGGGTTGGAGAGCTGGGAGAAAGGGGGCATGAAGGGTTAAAGAAGTACAAATTCATAGTTGATAGATGGTCATGGGGATGGGGAGTTTATAAACTATATAAATGTGTAACCAATGTACTGTGTACGTGAAACCAATAATAAAATTTAAAAAAAAAAAAAACGTGCCAACTGCCATTACTGGAAGCGGGAGTGGAGCCGCGAGACCATGAACTTGATTTTCCTGCCCCACACTCCCCAGCTGAGCCCAGTGAAGAAAACGGGTAAGCTTTAAACAACAGCAGTACCAATAGCCTTTGCTGGGGACTGGGAGGGGCAGGTAGGGCCAGGGAATTGGGGACTTAATTCCCCTGCCCCACACACCCTGACAAAGCCTGGTCTAAAAAGCCAAGATGTTCCAAGCTCAGCAAAAAGAAAGTACCCCATCAACCTACTGAATTGGCAAGAGCAAAATAGTATCTGAACAAAACAGTACCTAAAATGGGCAGGCAGAGCAACAATCCATCAAATACCATTAACAACCAAGGTAACTTAGGAGCAGAGAAAGAAAATGACAAGGCTCCAGAAACCAAACTCAAAGTCATGAATGATATTTAAATGACAAAGATTGCAGTTAGGAAGAAGTTCAATGATATACAAGAAAACTTAGGAACTGGCAGTTCAGTGAGCTCAGGAATAAAATTGAAACTATGAAAAAGAACCAAACAAATTCTGGGACATAAAAATATATGTACACTTATGTTCATTGCAGCATTATTCACAGTGGCCAATACATGGAAACAGCCTAAGTGTCCACAACCGAAGTGTCCCTTGACAGATGACTAGATAAAGAAGGTGTGATATATATAATGGAATACTACCCAGCTTTAAAAAAAAGGATGAAGTATTGTCATCTGCCACATTGTGGATGGATCTTGAGAGTATTGTGCTAAGTGAAAAGAACAAGAACCACATGATTTCACTCGTGAGATATAAAACAAAGCAACAAATGAATAAAAAAACAAGCTCATAGTTACAGACAGCAGAATGGTGGTTACCAGAGAAGGGTGAGGGGACGATGAAGAAGGTAAAAAAGATCAAATATATGGTGATAGAAGGAAAATAGACTTCAAGTGGTGAGCACACTATATAGTATACAGATGTTGTATTAAAAAGATGTATACCTGAAACATCTACCAATGTCATCCCAATAAATTTAATTTTAAAAAATTTGGAGGGAAAAAAGAATAGCTGACCTTAGAATTTAATTGTAATGTTCTAGATGAGTCTCTAACTTGCCTTTCAAGAGCTAGTGCTGATGATTATGGAAGTGTTTACTACACATCCATGAAATTATGCTTTAAAAGTATAAAAAGGAGGGAAATATGTAAATCCAATTTTTCTGCATGATGAAATGATGGGCCATTCTTCGACCCTTTCTATTTAACATTTAAAACATTTTACAGAACATATCTAACTAGTATTCAATTCTCAGAGATAAATATAAACATTAAATCATGAAGGATTTACACGGTCAAGTCCAAACACCACTGTATTGAGAAAACCAACTTCAGAGAAGTAACTTGCCCAAGAAAATACCGATGGTTCAATAACATTAGGTAACCTATCACATTCCAGCTACTGCACCAGTCACAAAGTCAGAAGTTAAATATAGTGTTTTGTTTCCCATTGCTCTTTTCTCTGAACCTGTGGTGGCTGTTTATCTCAGGTATGTACTTTAGGTGTCTTTCTCCATAAGGTCAGTAATGTACTGTGGTGGTTGTACATAGAAGGTCCTGTCTCAAAAATGCTGATTTCTTCTACTTGGGAAGAAAAGGCTTTGGAAAGCAGTCTTAAGTTCTTTAAACCCCAACCTCCACCTCTGTAAAATGAAAATAATAGCCCCAGCCCTTCAGGTCATTCTGATTAGAATTGGTAAGGCTGCTATAGCACCTGGCAAAGCACCCAGTGTCCAGTAAGCCCTCCCATGCTGAACCTGCTCTTCCAAGAGTGGTCATGCAGTGTGGTCAATGGAAAGTTAGCACCATGCCAACAGAGACAACAGAGCACGGAAGGGCCCCAAACCCAGCTAGGCAGGTCAGGGAGGGCATCCCGAAGGAGGTGATACTGGAGCTAAACCTAAGCTCACCTCTGGGCTGAGCCAGGAAACAGGGTGGGGCAGAACAGCAGGAAAGCATGAAAACCTAAGACCCAAAGCAAACAGAAACTTATTGTTTGGGAAAGATGGATTTTCTAAAGTCACAGACTTGCTTCTGAACATTTTTTATTCACAACTAATATTATTCAAAAACAATCCATTTCAATTAAAACAAGTCTTTTTATCTTTGTTTTAAAACAAACTGTTGAAAACAATACAATGGGTGAACCTTTCATACTTGCGTCATCCTCTTCCTCTTCTCTCCCTGCTTTCCTATTTCTGGAGGGTTTACCTCCTGAAAAGATAGGAGAAGTAAGAGGTAAAATTCAATATCAGATGTTCCTGGAAATTTTCTCTAATGCAGTTCTGAGCTGACAGTGGGGGAGGCAGCCCTTCACCTTAGAACTCAACCCACCATTGGCGATCTGAGTGCAGACACTGTCTCTAGCAGATGAGGCAGTGGGAAGCCAGGCTTCCTGGGCAGCAGTCAGGGCTGGAGGGACACTTCCTTCTCACTATGTACTGACTGAGATCTCTGATTATTCTTGAAATACATTCCTCTCCCTTAGTATTTCACTTTCTGTGTGTAAAATTCAGTATTTTACAGCTTGTTGATTTTTAAAAAGGACTACTTGTGTTTTATGTGCTTTTTCAGTATGCTTTTAAAGTTTTAAATATATACATTTTTATATGAAAAATGAACACCTCACACAAGTGACCAATGTTTAATTGAACATTTCTGTTACTGTTATGTTTACTACTATCCAGAACCTGGAGTGGAGCATATTAAGTGTTCAGAAAACATTGAAGGAATTAATATGGCTTATAGGTAGTAACAGTAATTCATTTGTATAGTTAAGACTTAAAATTTCTTTGCACTTGTGATCTTATAAGCGGAAAAGGAAAATTAACAGGAAAAGATTTTATTAACATGGAAATGAAATAACTCTCCTCTACCATTATACCCAAATGAAAAAGACACCCAGTTACCTCAATGAACATGGTAGAGGCCTTGCTCTCCCCGGCTCAACCTATTCTTAGTTCTCCAGTTGAGACTTGGTGTGTCTAAGGGCCCTGCATCGTTCTCACAGGACTTTCCATCTCCCTGGCATCCCCACCCTATCCAGTGTCCCCTGCAAGCTAACACTCTTCTACACCCAGCAAGAAGTCTCTGAGCAGACTTCCAACAGCCACCTATCAGAGGTATCAAACCCTCCTCTGGGCCACTCCTCGTCCTGTTACTGCACTGATCTCACTGAGTTTCAGTGAAGTGTATAGACATCTGTTGTGCTCCTGGGCTGTGAACTCCTCTTCAGAAGTTGGCTCCTGAGTACAGGGCAGTCCCCTTAGAATTAAATTTGCTTTTACCTCATCACTGGTAAGTTGCTTTGCTCT